TCCGAGCAGCTTTGTCTGGAGGAGCCTGGGCTCTTCTGGGCTGAGCTTTGCTGCTCTCCTCTCCCTGTCATGCTACTGGGATTCGGGAAAGAGACATTTCCATGGGAACTCACGGATTGGAGTGATCTCAGTCAGGCTTCTGATGGAAGAAACTTTGCAGGCAAAGGCAAGGTTGCTCAGTGGTATTTCCACCCAGTCCACAGGGACTGTTCTCACCTGCCCAGGGCTCAGGTGCCATGAGCCCCTTAGAAGGCACCAAGCCACTCCCAGTCCCTGAGTCTTTTTTTTTTTTTTTTGAGACAGAGCCTTGCTCTGTCACCCGGGCTGGAGTGCAGTGATAAAATTCAATCTCAGCTCACTGCAACCTCCGCCTCCCAGGTTCAAGCGGTTCTCCTGCCTCAGCCTCCTGAGTAGCTGGGATTACAGGTGCACACCACCATGCCTGGCTAATTTCTGTATTTTTAGTAGAGACAGGGTTTCACCATGTTGGCCAGGCTGGTCTCAAGCACCTGACTTCAAGCGATCTGCCCGCGTCAGCCTCCCAAACTGCTGGGATTACAGGCAGGAGCCACCACATTCGGCTAGTCCCCATATCTTTTGCTGGCAAGTGGAGACTGCAATACCAGTTCCCTCCCAGGGGTGTTGGGAAGAAACAATCTTGGAAAGATAAACTTAGGACATAGCCTACACATCAGCGAGCCCACCCATGAGGCCTGGATTCAAAGAGGAGCCCTGTGCTCCCTGAATAACCCAGGACACATCCCTCGACCTCGATATTCTCTTCTGAAGAATGGCCAGAAGAAGAGTCTCTCACAGAGTGGCGGTAAGGCAGAAGTTGCAGATCATCAGCAAACTGCTGTGCTCTGTGCCTGAGTGTGTAATACCAGAGCCACCTTGTGTTAAGCACTTTCTAGAAGCCAAATCGGTTTCAAGCATTAGTTCACTGGTACTGGAGAACTAACCTCCATTCTAACCTCCATTTTCCAGATGAAGCAACTGAGGCTTGGCAAGGTGAGCCTCACAGCTGGGAGATGGTGAGCAGGAATGGGAGCCCAGGGCTGCTTGACTCTGAAGCCCCAAATTTCAACTGTGACTGTATTAAATGCTCATTTAAGATCTGGAAGGACCAACAAGGTCCAGTGATCATCCTATTTCACAGCTGAGAAAATTGAAACCCAAAGAAAAGAAGAGGCCAGTTGAGTCATAGAGCTGCTGCTGCTGCTGGAACCAGGCCTAAGGTTCCACAATTGCTGCTTACATTTATTGAGCACCTACCATGTGCCAGGTACTACTTGCTTTCTGTCCATCATTGTATCTGATCTTTACCATAACCCTAGGAAGATGGAGACTATTATCATCCCATTTTTCATTGGGTAAAGCGAGGCAGAGAGGGAAGTAGCTTACTCAAGGTTGCACAGCTAATTAACGGGCGAGCCACAACTCATACCCAGAGAGTGAGGCTCGAGAGCCTTCATCCAAGCCACTTTGTGGCACTGCCTCCCAGCCAGGACAGGCTGGCCTTGCCCAGGAGCCTGGGGCCCAGGCGGACTTGCCTGCCAAGGGGGTGAGGTCCACACGATTCCCACGGTATGGCCGCCACTGGGCAAGGCAAGGTGCCACTGAGCTGCAGCACTCAGGGAGACGGGCATGGAACTAGGACTGGCAAGCTCAGTGTGCTCAAAGGCCATTAGCCCCCTGCCTCTCCAAAGAGAAGTTTATCCAACAAAACGCAGGCAAGGAAAGAACACGTTCCGCATTATGTGTCTCTTGTTGTAGGCAGTGCACATCTTGGGAGATGTGTGGATGAAAGGCGCCATATAAAATGCAATCAATTATGAATCACCATTACTGAATTAATCACATGTATGATTAATACAGTAATAATAATTAATGGGAGTATGGTCTAGAGATTAGAGCTGAGGACTGACAGGGAGGGGTCAGAGTGCTTCTAGCAGCCTCTGCCGCTGCCTGGAGGTGTCACCTTGGGGAAGGCCCTGGGTTCCTCCTGCCCCTACCTTGGCAGTAGAAGGACCCCCAGGGTGTCTTGAAAACCCCTAGATGGTCCTGGACACAGGATCTTACCACCTCCTTAAAAGCTGCGTCTCAACTGCTCAAGGTCAAGGGGACAAAGAGTTTCTTGAAGAATCAAAATCTTGGCCTGGCTTAAGTGAACAGAGTGAGCGAGGAGAGGGATGAGAGCTTGGTAGGGGGTGTCCTTTGAGCTTGCACTTGACTTAAATCAGCAAGGTGAGCTCATTTTTTCTGTCTGTCTGTCTCCATCAGGAATTGCCATCTCTTGGAAGTCCCCAGAGGGCCTGGACCTCATCTGTTACCTCTCATTACAAAGCTGGTAGGTTATTTTTGCTTGTGACTTTATAATTTCCTGTTACTCATCTATACCGTGCATATTTTCTCATTGTAAAGGAGTCAAGCAACCAGAAAGGATATCTATAATAAAGCCGTCAGTCCCCTCATCTCCCCTGTTCATACTTTGCTGTATATCTTCATTGTCCACATGTAGAATGGATTTGTCTATATATATAGTGGACTTGTATACAATCATATGTGTATAATCATATATATGTATGGTTATATATGAATCCTTTTTAAAAAATACAGATGGAATAAAATTAAATGCATTGTTCTACAGATGCTTTCTGATAGCAGATTTCACATACACAATTCAAATTAAAACCGTGCATTGGAGCCAAAACCCCACCAGTGAAGAGGATGATTAGGCTGCTGGTGAGAGGGGAGCCAGCGGTTATTTTCGGGGAGATTCATTAACACTTTCCTGCCCCTAGTGCTCAGCTTCTTTTCATTGATGGAAAAAGGTCATTTGTCAGAAGGTACCTTAATGAAGTTTAAAAATGAACGTCCCTCAACCACCTGGTCCCCACATGGCTGAAATCCTATTTGTCCCTATCTTGGAAAATAAGTGCTTTATGGTTCACTTGAAAGGAACATCGTCTCCTGGTGGCTGCTGTGGAGTGTGGTTAACTCAGGATCGTAGCAGAGGGACCACCGTCCTGGGCAAATCCCCTCGTGGTGCAGATGGGGAAGCTGAAGCCAAGAGCAGGGAAGGGATCTCCCCCAACCACGCAGTGTGGTAATGGCTGAGCCAAGGAAAGCCCATTATCCTGACTCTCAGTGCAGTGCTTTCCATTATCCTGGGGTCTGGAAATGAGGAGACCAGAAGACAGCTTCTGGCATAGGTCCGTAAAAAAGCCTGTTGGCAACAGCTTATTGCAGAGGCAGCGAGTATTGGGGAGGTGGGGGCTGGCGGGGAGGCACATTAAAAATTGTTTCCAGGCTGGGCATGGTGGCTCACGCCTGTTATCCCAGCACTTTGGGAGGCCGAGGTGGGCAGATCACAAGGTCAGGAGTTCAAGACCAGCCTGGCCAACATGATGAAACCCCATCTCTACTAAAAATACAAAAATTAGCCTGGCATGGTGGCGGGCGTCTGTAATCCCAGCTACTCAGGAGGCTGAGGCAGGAGAATCGCTTGATCCTGAGAGGTGGAGGTTGCAGTGAGCTGAGGCCATGCCATTGCATTCTAGCCTGGGTGACAGAGCAAGATTCCTTCTCAAAAAAATATATATATATTTCTAGTGGCAAATATCTTTGCATTTGGGTCACTGAAACCATCCTGGCCATGCTAGGGAGGAAGCACCCTGTCCCTCCACCATGTTCAGATGAACTACAAATAAGAAGCAGCTTCTCCACGTCTCTTTGGCCGTTCCTGACAGCATCCAGTCTGCAGTGATGATGGAGGAGCAGGGCGGTTCCCAGGGATTGATGACCCTGCCCCCGGGGTGACAGCAAGCTGAGGGATGACCCTGGTCATCACTCACCCCGTGTGGGAGCCCCACACCCTGCCCTTCACTGCTGCCTGCAGGCTGAATGCTCAAAAATCAAACCGCTGAGATCTGTTCTCATCTCCCAAGGAGCTTCCTCCTGCCTGCAGAGAGCAGGTAACTGGGAGCTTGCCTGCATCTGCCTTCCTAGGCTGCTTGGTGGGATGGGCCCGTCTCCAGTGGGAGGGATCTGAGAGCATATGCAGACAGAGGCACACCATGGCCCTGTTTTTACCCCTTTTTGAAAAAAAGGAGGATTTACCATTCATATCTCACATACGGGGAAACTGAGCCCCAAAGTAATCTGGGCCTCGTTCCAAGTTAACCAGCCAGCCAGGCCAGTGACAGAGCGCCCCCTGGGAACCCAAGAGCCCTGCCTCCCTGGCCAGAGTTCTCCTTAGCTATGTGACCTTGGGGCTTCACTACTAGTGAAGTCACAGGGCTTTGGCGAAGATTCAGCGAATAACGCACACAGACTGGTTTGCATGGAGTCTGGCATAAAAAAGGTGCTCAATAAATATATTATTATTATTGTTATTACAGCAGATGACAGTCTTTAATTCTGCATCCTCTGCTTGTTTAGTCAGAGATTCTAAATAGTATTCAGCAGTCTAACTCCCTCTCCAGTTTTCAGGGCAGCTGAGGGCAGGTAAGGGTTAAGGTGGAGGTGAAGGGTGGCAGCAGGGCGGGGCACTAAGGTGCCTGGTCTTGCTCCATTCCCAACACCCTCTGTGACCTTGGGCTGGTCTCTCTCTGCCTCTGTCTCTGTCCTCAGGCCCTTTGTTCTTGATGCATCCAAATGACAGTGCTGGCTGCTCAAGCCTGCAGCGAGCCCACCCCAGGAGGCCAGGAGTGTCCAAAAAACACATGTGCTCCTGGAAGATGTGGAAACTCTCCCTGAAGCCCTGGGAGGCAGCCTGGCAGGAAACCTCCCGTGGGTCGGAGAGCCCAGGGCTGCCCGATGCCATGTTGCCAACTGAGCAGCCTCTGCCATGCCTGGGGCTGCGGCTACGGGAGCCCTCCCACACCTCCCTCCCATGCTTGCCTGGGAGGGAGGCAGAGAACCCCTCAGGCAGGCCCCTCCTGCCCCCCTACTCTGCACTCTCTGCAGAGCTGGCTTGGCTTCGTCAAAAGCAGGGCCCATCAGGGTGGAGGCGGCGATGTGTCAGCTGGTATTCAGGCTCTGGTTGTGCGCTTAGATTGCTCCCCCTCCCCATCTCCCCAAATCCACCCACCCACCCCGGTACCCACTGCTTGGGTCCTTCTGGGTGGCAGCACTTCACGGGGAGAGACCGAGGAGCAGCCCTGAGCCCTTGGCTGTGGGGGGGTGGGGGAACTGACTCCACTTGGCCCCCTCCCTCGTGCCGATGGGGCAGCCCCCACACCCATGGGCGCTGGCACCCCGGCAGGCCCCCGGGTTTTGGAAAAGGAAGCTGCAGCCCGGCTGCGCCTGACCGGAGGCGGCTGAGGATGAGCTCTGGGCGCAGGGACCCGCTGGCCCCCGGGCCCGGAGGCGATGTTTAGGCAGCGACCCCCCAGAGGCTGCCGGGGCCACCCTGGCTGCGGGCCCGCCGGGACGCCCCTGCTCGCCGCGCCCCTCCCCGGGCCGTGGCACGTCCCCCGAGCCGCGCAGTATTTCCTTCCTGCACCTTTAAGAAGACCGTTGCTCCGTGGTGGGATGGTGTGTTAAAGCCACACAGAGGAAGTTACGCAGCCCGGATCAGACCGAGAGATAAAAGCCCCGATGGTGATCGTGAGTGATGGCAAGAGGATTTAGCCTCGGCATTAACTTGGTGCGGAGTGCAGGGGGGCCGTGAAGCGCCCGCCATCTGGCCCGCACCGCGCCGGGGGGATGCCCCGGCTCTCCGACGAGCCGCCGCGAAGCCCACCCGGGCCGGGGGCTGCCCGGAGCCCGAGTGCGGGTCCTCCCCGGGCCGCCCAGGGGGGCCAAAAAGTTTGCACTTGTTAGCGGCGACCTCCTGCTCTGCCCGGGCGGGCGATGCGGGCTGCGCGAGCGGCCCCCTCCCCCGGCCCGCGTCTCCGGGACGGCAGCGGGCGGCCCCCCCGGCGGCCGGAGGGCTCCCCGGCCCCGATCTGACGGCGGCGGCAGCGGCGGCCACAGCGGCGGGAGCGGTGAGGGGAAGGAGCAGCTGCTCGCAGCCCTCGGCCCGCGCCCCCACCCAGCGCCAGCCCTAGGCGGGAGGCGCAGCGCCGGAGGGTGGCGGTCCTCGGCCCTCCTGGGTCTCGGCGCCGGGAAGCCGCTCTGAGCCGGGGTAAGGCGGGCAGGGAGAGCCCGGGAGGCGGGCGGGCGCGGGGGAGAGGCTTCAGCTTAGCCGGGCTGGTTTCATTTTTAAAGGGATTCGGTGACTATGCAGGCTTGCCCGGGCCCAGGAGCCACTTACAGCCGCCCGGCAGAGGCTCGGATGAAAAAGTTGTTTGGTGGCGGCTGCTACGAGCCTGGAGTCGCCCCAGAGGGGTGTGTGAGAGTGCGTTCGTAGCAGCATCTTAAAGGGGTAGCTTGTCTTTCTGGCCGACTTCCCCCGGGTCTTTTCAGTCGCGCGCGCGCGTGTGTGTGTCTGTGTGTGTGTGTGTGTGCGTGCGTGTGTGTGCGTGTGTGTGTGTGGCGGGGAGGGTTGTCGCAAGGATGCTCAGATGTGTTTAGGAAAAGGAAACTAACCCTGCTCCCGCGCCTCTCCCCCACCCGAATCCCACCGCCACCGCGGACAGCCACCCCCATCCCGTGCTCTCCCATCTCTCTGCAAACTGGGAGCCTGTGAGTTGCACAAAGAAACTCTTGGCCAGCCCGGCCTCAGCTGGAAACTTCTCACGGCGCCGGGAGGGGGTCGGAGGTGAGGGGGCGCAGGCACCGGCTCGGAGCCGGCGTAGAGTCGAACCTGGAACTGAGTGGCGCTCAGGTGGGGGGAGCAGAGGCGGCGGGAAGGCGGGAGGAGAGGACCGCGGGCTCGCGGGGTCCGCCGGCTCCGGAGTAAGTTGGGCGTCTGGGCGGGGGGGCGGCGGCGGCTGAGCCGGGGCAAACGATCCAGCCAGTTTCCGGGCGCTCCGCTCCGGGTCTTTTAATTAAGAGAGGCGGTGCCGAAAAAGTGGGCACCTCCATTCCGTCCGGGCCTTTATTACAGGCTTAATGATTAATTGCTCCCGTGGCTTGCACGCAACTTTGGGTAGACAAAAAACCTGCGGGGTTGCCGGGTAGTCGCTGTGCCTGGCACAGCGCTCGCAGCCGGCCGGGAGCGCGGACTCGACCCCGGCCCCGGTCTCGACCCCGCCCGCCACCCGCCGGGACCCACCCCGGGGCCTACAACTCGCGCCCCGCCTCCCGCGCCCAACTTTCTGGGACTCCCGAGGGCGGGGAACCAGGGCCCAGGGAAAGGACCTGCTCCGGAGCAGGGAGAAACCCGGACCGCTGGAACTCGGACGCCCGTCGAGGCTGCGGTGAGCGCGGGGCGCCCGCTGGACCCCGCTTGGGGCAGAGGACCGGAAGGTGACCTCGCGGAGCAAGCTTCCTTTCCCTCCCCGCACCCCCCACCCTCCCCCGAAGGCAGATTTCACCCCCTCCGCTCCCCTGCGGAGGACAGAGAGGGAACCTTGAGGTGGGCTGGGTTCCCCCCACCCCAGGCCTCAGAAGTCCCCATCGCCCTCCCTTCGGTGCCCCCAGGGCCCGCCGCGGCAAGTTTCCCACACAGCGAGGGCGCAGCCGGCAACTCCGAGAGGAACCTGCTGGCGAGCCCAGCCAGCTCGGGAGGCGCTAATTCAATAAGACAGAGAGATCTGAGTTCAGAAATCCTGATAAAATCTAATTTTCGGGTTTTAATACCCTGGCTATCAGCCCCCCTCGGTTCCTGAGGACTCTTAAAAGAAAATAAAGCGCATTGATTCTATTTGTTTCTTGGAGCTGCAGTTTCTTAATAACATCAGGTGAAGATAAATTTTTTACGGAGAAAACGATCCGCCGGGATGCAGCCTCTTACTCTGAAAATTTCCCTGCCGACTCCTCACTCTCTGCGCTCCTCCTCGTTACCCCGGGGAGTCCTGCGTCTCTCCCCCCTTCTCTTTTTTCTTTTTGGCAGAACTCTCCTGTAATATTCGTGCACTGAGCTCATAATTCCCCCTGCGATGCCAGCAACGCCCAATTGATTGACTAGTTGTAAACACATTTTTCCCCTGGCAGATTTTGTTGGTGGTGGTTTTTTTCTTTTTTTAATTTTCCAGGGAATGCGTGGCATTTAAGCCAACAGAACTGCAATTCATAGATTTGCGAGTTGCGCCCCGCGCGCCGCTAGCCCCAGCCTCCCGGCCTCCGGCCCTCGCTGCCTCCCTGCGCCTGGAGGCGTCCAGCGCCTTGCAAGCACCGAGCAGCCCGCAGGTCCTGCAGCTGAAGGAAGGCGGCAGCTGCGTCCTCCTTGCAAGCCGCAGCCCGGCGTCCTGGTTGTCCCAGCAGCCAGGAGCGCCCTACCTGTTAGTGAACAGCTGGGAGTCGACTGCTGGAAGGATTAATTAGGAACGTGCTGTGCTCCGGGCAGCGCGAGCTCGGGTAGAGGCATCCAAATCTTTGCCGGCCGCGCTATTTTATTTTTACTACATTTTCTCAGGTTGCAAAAATAGACACCGGGCACGTTCTTTCTGAGAGTTTTCTAGCAAGGAGCGCCTTCAAGGCCGGGCAGGCTCTACAACAGGTTCCTCTTTAACCAGCCAGAGGTGAGATAGGGAAAATGGTCCTGGCTGTGTTCTCATTCATCTCCATCAGGAGCCCTTCATCCAGAGGGAGGGGCAGGGGTCGCCCTAACGCAGATGGATGAGTCCCGTGCCTGGAGCCCTGGGGCCCTGGCTGGGGGCTGCTCCGAGCTCGAGGTGCTCAGGACAGCAAGTGCCCGCCACTTCGGTTTGTCATTTTTGGCAGGAGCGTTTTTGTGTCTGAGTGGAGAATGGAGTTTCATGGAAACACAGTTAACTCGTCGGGGGTCTTGCATGCACAGGCGCCGAAGAGGATGTCAGGGGAGAGCCAGGCCAGGTCGGACATGCAGGATGGTTTGGGAGGCAATCATCGGAGGCAGAATAACCAGAATCATTAATCATGCAGGGGCTTCTGCTGTAACTTATTGCAGTAACCTTTGCCCTATTGGCCAGTGTTTTTGGCCAGAATCCCATCCTGGCTGGACTTGGGTTCTCTGGGTGACAGATCCAGTGTCTGGAACATAACAGTACTGGAGTCATGTTATTTCCCAATGTAACATTCATGTTACTGATATGTATTGTGATATGATATATTAGTTATATCTATTTTGATTTTAAATAATGATAGTAACCAGAAGCTTAAAATAGCACAGCAATAATCATAATAGTGACCCGTCTATAGACGAACCTTCTAAGAATGATTGCAAAATGCTGGCCTTGATCAGAAAAATCGGATCTCACAAAACATTGTCACCTCTTTGTCAGTCGTCAATATCCCTAGTTTATTACAGTTAAAAAAAATTAAATTAGCCATTTCAGATTGTGCCTATGATTGGTGAGCGATTTATCCGTGCCTGGCTCTTCACAGTTGGCCAGTACGAGGATCACTCTGTCCGTCTGTACATATAGGTACAGGCTCAGCTGCACCTGTACTTACAGTCTCATCTCTGCCTCTAACAACTTCGACATTCTGACTTGTCAGTCATGGTATTTTAAAGCAACCATTAAATCTGGGCTCCTGGGGATGCTTTCGAAAGTCTCTGACCCCCAAGCAGGGGCACTTCTGCTGAACTAACATTCTCATCAATGAGAGAAAAATGCATCACCTTTTAAATAGCATGCCCAATCTCCAAATGTGCAACTCTGATATTAATAAAAATAACCCGGTTTTCTCAGGAGACCTCGCTAATGCAGCCTCATCTTTCGCACATTTTGCCGGAGAGCTTTTGTTCTTATACATCTCTATTCTCCCCGTCTTTAATTTGTTGCAGGTGTTGTTGCTAATGAGCTCTCTCTCTCTCTCCTCCCCTCTTACAATGAAAGACAAGCCAGACCCCAGGTACCTGGATGGATTGAGAGCTGAGATCTCAGAAACTTCATAAGTTGCCGATGGCTACCAGCCAAGGTCAGCTGGGCCCCATTAGTGCCGGCCCCCACCAAAGCAGAGCCAAATAGCCTTCTCCCCAGTTAACACCTCAGTAGCTTTTTATTCTAGTCCAGTCACACAGTTGTTGCCACCTTAAGCCCATATGAAAGCAATCTCTTTTATTGGTCCGAGAAGCCAAGTCTAGTCCCAAAGAAGGAACATGCTTCCAGCTAACACGTCCGCCTCCTGATTTTATTTTATCTCTACAACACAGGCCGGAGGGTTGTTTTGCAGTTGTGTTGAGCACCTCACCCACTAAGAGCCCTTTAAAGACCTGGATTGATTGGAAGGACAAAAATTAAAAGCAATCTGATCCAGCCTCATGCAGGATCCCTGCGGATTTTCTCCTTATCCCATTTCCATCCACTGTCACAATTTGAGAGTCTGCCTGATTTGATCAGCTTCACCTCTGGGGGAGGTGTGACGCCAAGGTTAGGAGGATGTGAAGTTATGGACAACTTTCTGATCTGCCCATCAGCAGTCTGAGAAACGCTGGCTCTGAATTTTCCATCTCTGCCTTTTGGAAACAACTTCCTCGCTGTTTGCAAAGCTTCAGTGCTCGGGGCCCTGGGACACCCTGGCCACCCTCGCCTGGTTGATGTGGCATTTCCATGCTGAGCCCGAGAGTCCCGCCTGACCCCATCGCTGCCTCTCCAGGGCGTCTCTGGGCTGCACCCCTGCGGACTGCGCAGCCATGCTGCACCTGCTGGCACTCTTCCTGCACTGCCTCCCGCTGGCCTCTGGGGACTACGACATCTGCAAATCCTGGGTGACCACGGATGAGGGCCCCACCTGGGAGTTCTACGCCTGCCAGCCCAAGGTGATGCGCCTGAAGGACTACGTCAAGGTGAAGGTGGAGCCCTCGGGCATCACTTGTGGAGACCCCCCTGAGAGGTTCTGCTCCCACGTAAGTCCACTTGCTGCTCTTTTGTTTGCTCAGGCCAAGTGGGAGGAGGTCTGGGATAGTTCTTTGGGGTGGATGAGCAGAGCGGTCAGACCAAGATGCAAGGCTGACTTTCCTGCATCTTGAATTGGGACCAGGTCTTTGTCCCACCTTGGAAATGTGTCAAAACAGAGGCCACCTTCAGGACACTGGGGTCATGTGACATTGTTCTCTGGGGTAGAGGCATTCTCCATTAGCTGGCCACTAGATCAGTTCCCTCGGGAAGTCCATAGTATTCAGCTCCCCAGCCTTGCAGGTAAGCCCCGCCTCCTGTGTAGGAAGTCAGCATTCTGGGCGAGTGAGTGAGACACTACCTGCAACATGATACTCTAATCACCCTCTGTTCATCCTTCCTGCGGTGCAACCTCCTAGCCCACTCAATCCAATCCAGCAGACAGCGTGAAGCTGGAGCATGCCAAGCACTGAGCTGGCCCTTTGCACAGGGAGGTTTGACGGAGGCTCAGAGGGAATTCATGAAGGAGGAAGTTGGGGGTCAGGCTGGAATAGACGGTGCAGCTGGGTCCCCTTCCAGTTCCATTCCTACATGCAATGATGACAGCCCCTGGGTAAGTCTGAGGAAGGCAGACGTTCAGCGTTGTCCCTTGAGTCCCTAGTTAGAGAAGGAGGAGTCCTAGAGGCACGGAGTACTTCAGTACTCAAGTCATGTTAGCAGCAACAGCAGAGATGCTGCATGCGAGCTGCCTGAGTGTGTGGGCTGAGCCTGATGTCATTTCGAGGAGTCCTCCCCTCAGCTAGCCAGGTGGATTCTGTGTTGTATAAAGCAGGAGCGTCAGGGGTGGGCTCTGGCCCAGGGATGTCTGTGGGTTTCTGTTCTGTCATCTGCAAAGGGGGCACAAGAAAAACACACACTCCTAGCGTCATTGCGAGGAGTTAGTGGTTGAATTAATCTAGGTAAAGTGTTTGAAATAGGACCTGACATGGAGTAGGTGCAGGTGTTAGTGGTTGACATTCCAGTCACACAGGTGGGATAACTGAGGCAGCCCAGAGGTGACAGGGGACAGGTGAAGGCATCTGGCCAAGGTCACACTCCAGGAAGTGGCGAAGCTGTGATTCCAGCTTAGAGTGGCCCCAGTGTCTCTGAGCTAAGCTGCTTCCTGCTGGGACATGCTCTGGAGGCTGTCCCTGGAAGGGCAGGGCAGAGCCGGGTAGGGCAGCCAGGCTGCAGGAGCTCACAGGAGGGGCTCAATGGCATCCCCCGGGCAGCTGGTGCCTCTGCATGTCCTCAGGGGAGCCTCTAGGTCTCTGGGTTTATGCTGACCCAGCACCCCCACCTCGGACTCCTGAGGACTCAATCCCATGGGCTGGCTTTGGTCACCGAGAAAGTAGCTTCTTACTCGGGCTCATCAGGATGAGGCTGTCGCTGTGGGTGGCAGCTGGGCCAGGGCCAGCTGGGGAGAAGGGGAGGGAGGGAGGGAAGGAGAAAGTGGCAGGAAGCCAGCAGCTGGGGCTGGATAGTCTCTAGCCATCACTGCCCTGGGGACCGCAGGACCGAGCGAGGGGGCTGGGCTCTGGAAGCCAGGAAGAAGGCCAGGCCGGAGCCAATGCTGAGTCCACCTCTCAGCTGGTGGGAGGGTTCTCCACATTCTCCTGGGCACAGTCAACCTCTGCCTCTTGTATTAGAGTCTCGACTGTATTTTTTCTCTTAAATATTAATCACTGCCTTAATGTACTTGGGGGAGCAGTTAAATCATAATTCTAGGACCAGCTTCGGGTCGAGGACTTGAGGTGGGGAAATGACCCTCAGAGGCAAGTCTGAGACCCTCTCCTGGCCAATGCTGGCTAGGATGTCCTTGGCCCTGGACCTCTGCCCCAGCCCCACCCTTAGACAGAGAACCCAGTGCAGTAGGCAGCTGCCCTGGGGAGGTGATCACCCCTCCCAGTCCCGATGCCAATGCCAGCAGAGCCTCATCCCAGGCAGCAGTCCTCAAGCCTGGGATGAGGGGTCTGGAAGAGTGCTCTCTCCTATCCCCTCCCCTGGCCCTCTCCTAGGCAGACAGGTGTGGAAGGCAGGGGAGAAAGAACAGCATCTCCACAGTCTCCCACATGGGTGCATTCTCAGTGTCTCGCCACCTGTTTGATGGACTTAAATATTTCATCATGGGCTCCATCCGGCTCTGCTTTGATTACAAATGTGTGGCCGATGAAGATGGGGAGGCTGCGCAGCAGGTGGATGGCAGCCTTTGGAGGGGTGGCTTTGGAAAGCTGGTTTTTGGAGGGGTAGCTTTGGAAGGCTGGTTTTTGGAGGGGTGGCTTTTGGAGGACTGGCTCTGGAGGGCTGACATTGGAGGGCTGGCTTTGGAGGGTGGTTTTTGGAGGGCTGGTTTTTGGAGGGCTGGCTTTTGGAGAGCTGGCTTTGGAAGGCTGGTTTTTGGAGAAGTGGTTTCGGAGGGCTGGCTTTTGGACGGCTAGCTTTTGGAGGGGTGGCTTTGGAAGGCTGGTTTTTGGAGGGCTGGCTTTGGAGGGTGGTTTTTGGAGGGGATGGTTACTTCCAGACAGATCTGGGTTCAAACCCTGAAGCCAGAGTTTATTGTGGCTTCCCCTAGGAGGGTCCAGGCAGGTCTCATTTAATCATTTCTAGGATCCTCTGAGGTGGGTCCTATTCTAATCTCATTTTGGGGATTAGAAAGTATTGCCTAAATCCCGCCAAGGTCACTCAGTTGAGAAGGCAGGCTGGGAACTGCCTGTGACCAAGGCCCATCCCCACCCACCAGGCGGCACAGCCTCCCCTCTCTCAACTTCTGACCTCTCTGAGCTTCACTGTCTTCCTCTGCCCAGTAGAAACCATAACGTAGGAGCATCCCGGTGCTGGTGGGACAGTGCAGCCTGGCCATGCTGCCCTGGTACATGCTGGCACATAGGAGGTACTCAGTGCACAGTACTGGTCACTGGCTTGTTACTGTAATGATTATGGCCTCGGTGACTTTCCTGGCTTCTCTTCTTCCCCCGAGTCCTTTGCCTCTCCCATCTTGAGGACACCACACCTTGTATTTTTAGTCTCTGCAGCTTCTATGCCTGCAGCCCCAGCAGCTTTTGTTAACCAGCCACCAGGGGGCGCCCTCATGGTGGACAGATGCCCACTGCCTCCTTAGCCTTGCATCACCCATGGGTCCTTGCTTCCCATGGCCCCTTCTGTGGCAGGTGCTATGTGTGTCCCAACATCCAGCCTGTGGGAGCACAAGCCCCGCTGCACTCCAAGGGCACAAGAGGGGGCCCAGGGGCAGACGGCCTTTTCAGATGCAGGGTGCAGAACCCCCCTCTCTCTCCCAGGCTTCCTGTCCTTCAGCAAGGCCACCTGAGAACTGAATTGTAAATTCCAGCCTTGCAAGGAAGGGGAGGAGGCTGAAAGACAAGATAAATGAATAAATAAAAACCTATTGGCTCTAAATGCACAATGAGAATTAATAGGGATGAGCTCTCAACCGAGGATTCTTGGGCAAGGACAAAATTGCAATGAGGGCTGTGGGGGAAGAGAGGCAGCCCCACCCCAATTCCCAGGGCCTGCCCGAGAGGTCAGCCCAGCAAGGCTGCAGGCCAGGGAGGAGGCGGGAAGGGCAGCCGGCAAAGCGTCTCAGCCCCTCAATAGGCAACTGCTGCTTGCAGACCCCTTTAAGATGTGGAGGGCATGACTGGCATTGGGAGGTGCCCATAGTGCTCTGTAAGGCAGGTCTCCCGCAGGCCACCTGTGCTGCCTGTGAGAGGAAGGGGAAACCCTTCCTTTGTGCCTTGGAGACAAAAACTAGCCACCTGAGACTCAGGGGAGAGCTGACGAGCAGGAGAGAGAGATGGAGAGAGCCACTGCCCAGGTGACAGGGTGCTAGGGGAATCCTGCAGCTCCCACTCAGAGTGGGTACCTGGTGCAGCAGCGCCAGCCTCACCTTCACAGAGGTGCAGAACCCCGGACCCCGTCCCGCCCCACATCTGCTGAGCCAGAATCTGCCTTAACAGGAAGTCTCTGGAGTGGGGGTGGGTTGGTCCATGGTGGTGGATGAAGCCTGTCACTGAGAAAGGGGCTGAAGGTCTGTGGGTCCCACGGGGTCTGTGCAGGTTAACGGGAGAGGCACTGCTGAGGGGAGACAGGAGCCAGCAGGAGAGCAGGGTGGGAGTCCTGGGAATGAGCAGATGGAGCTGGAAGCAGAGATTCCCAGATGCGGGCCTCACTTGCCAAGGCAGGGGTCTGTGCTTCTGAGCAGGAGCCAGTGGAAGGTTCCAGAGAGAGGCAGCATTTCCTCCTGATAAGAGCTACAGGCCCAGAATCTGAAGCCCTGAGCTCACATCCCAGTGTTGTCACTTGGGGTCTGGGTGGTCTGGGGTGAGTGATTCCAATTCTCCAAGCCTCAGTTTCCCTATCTGTAAAAGGGGTATGAAGGTCACTGCCTTGCCCACCTCACTGACTTCCTGGGAGAGGAAATGCCTCTCTCAACATACTGGAAGGTGCTTCAAGGAGACCATAGGTTCTGTTCTAGTGTGAGACTTGAATGTTATTTTATCCACTCTTGATAAGCTGGATGTTTCCACACTGACATGGGTGAACACTGAAATTTCAGCCATGCTGGAGACTCTGGCATACAGAGATACCTTGGCTTTGGTGGACAGGAAAGCCAAGGGCAGGCTGTGAACGTGCATCTTCAAACACGCATCTTAGTTACAAAGCCTGCTTTCACTTCTCTGTGCCTCAGTTTACCCAGCTGCAGAGCAAATGGTTCCATTCCTCCCCCAGGGAGTCTAGTGGGCTGATGGATGCAGATGGCAGGCAGGTCCTGGAGTCCTCCATCTACTCCCCACTGTGACATTGAACACCACATGCAGAAACATGATCATGACATGTTTCCATCCAACAGTGCAGGGCTGGCCAGCCCGATGGCTCTGGACTCCTTCCCGCTCTGTTTCTGGCCCCCAAACCCAGCCTCCCTCCTCTCACCATCACACCCCTCCAGGTGGCAGAT